AGTTTGGCCCAGTGAGGTGGTGGGTTGGGGACAGGAGCTGGGGACACGGAGGGGTGTGTGGGAGGAGGCTGGGGACTGTCCCCACTGCTGCGTGGCAGCCCCTAACCCTGCTCCCCTTTGCCTCCTCTGCCCAGGGCTCTGGGGGCCAGGCAGCCCCCACCGAACCTGCCAGGTCAAACGTGGCACCGAGTGCCAGGCCACGCTGAGGACCACCATCCCAGGGATGCACGCAGTGTCCTGTGGCACCCAGGCCACCATCCCAGGGATGCAGACAGTATCCTGTGGTGCTCAGCCATGTCCTGACTATGTCACTGCTGTTGTTTCCAGACCAGGCATCTGAAGGGTGCCCTTGGAAAGCTGGGGGTGTCTGGAGCTAAAAGAAACACTGATGTCAGTGACCAGATCACCCAGCAACTGCAGTAAAGGATGGGAGAGGGTTTCCTATGCCATGGGAGTTTCAGCAAGGCTGGGATTGCTGGAAGCAGCCTGTTCTGGGGGCAAGAGACAAGCAGGAGCTGGGAGAGCAGCAGAACCTGAGTAAGGCCACACTTGAGCAGTTTATCAGGATGGCTGAACAGCTGAAGAAGCAGGTGAGTCTGGGGAGGAGGATGGTCTCAGCAGGGTGGTCCTGGTCAGGGTCCAGGCCATATTCCCTGGATGGATGGCACTGTCGAGGCCCCAGAACACCCAGGCACACTGGCCACATCATCCTATCTCAGAGCAATTCTTTCCCCTCTTCTGCAGCTGGACAAGCTGGAGGTGATCGTGGAAGGTGCGGGGCAGGAGCAGGACAAGCTGTGTGTGGTGATGGAAGGCATGAAGCAGAAGCAGAAACTGCAGGCAATGGCAGATGGTGTGGAGGAGAAGGGCAAGCTGCGGATGGTGGCAGAAGGTGCATGGAAGAAGCAGGGCAAGATGTAGGCAATAGTGGAAGGTTTGTGGAAGGAGCATAGCAAGCTGCAGGTGACTATGGAAGGTCTGGAGAAGGAGCAGGACAAGCTGTGGATGATGGTGGAAAGTGGAGAAGAAGCAGGGCAAGATACATGTGACTGTGGAAGGCTTGGGGCAGAAGCAGAATGAGCTGCTGGCAATGGGGCAGGAGGAAGGGGAGGAGGAATGTGTGACTGTGGAAGGCTTGGAGCAGGAGCAGGCAGCCTGCACCTCCTATCACACAGACACCAGCGTGCAGCTGGGGAAGATCCTCCAATGGCACAAGAACCTCCAGGAGCTGATGGAATCCTTGATGTCGCAGCAGGCAGTGTGCTTGCTGCCTCCCAGGTTGGCCTGTACAAGTCAGTGCCAGAGTCCTGAGCAGAGTGACAAACACCCCTTGTCCCTTGTGTGCTTGGTGGCATAACTGGCCTGGGGGAGAGAGGCTTTCCAGACCAGCTGTGGTCCCTCACCAGGCTCTTCTGCAGCCCCCCAGGTCCCTCTGGCAGGTGGCACTGACCCCATGGGGGCGATGAGGCAAGCAGGGCCACAGAACTGTTTCTGCCTCTGCCCCGACACAAGCTGGCCCTGCCCTTCTGCCTCCATCCTTTCCCCAATGCTTTCCTGCTTTTCCCAGTTGCTGGAAAGACAACAGAGCCACCCTGGCTGCCGTGGCCAGCCAGAGCCACTTGGAAGCCAGAAGGGAACAGCTGAAGATGTATGAGATGCTGAGCCAGATACTGGCCTGGGAGCAAAATCAGGTGGACTCCAAGGTGAGTGGTTGGCTGTCCTTGCTACCCAAATTGGCCCCTTCAGGGCATCCCTGCTAGAGTCTCCCATTCTGGCTGTGCCCCCTAGGAGACTATGATTTCCCATCCTGGGGTGGCTGGCTGAGGGTGTGTCAATCTGCAGCTCCCGTACCACCTGGAGTGGAAGACTTTCCCTCAGCAGGTGAAGAAGCTCAGAGGAGAGAGAGGCCGATGATGTGGCTGGGGTTATCGAGGGCGAGGGATGGGGGCTGTGGGCAGGGACCTGCCATGGCCACTGCTCCCCAGGACCACAGGGACATAGAGAATCCAGCTGGGCTGCATGGGTGGGGGTCTCCTGCAGCAGTCAGAGGGGAGCCAGGAGGGATGGAGCCCAGCAGGGAGCACCTCCCAGCCCTCGCCCTGGCACAAGGTGATGCATGGGGTGCTGGGCGCTGAGCACTCCATGCCCCATCCCACAGGGAGCAGGCGGACAAGCCTGGAAAGCCAAGGGCTGCAGGGGCCTGGACACCATCACCTGCCCATCACGGAGACTCAGAGGCCTCAAGTCCCTTCCACCCATTCCCTGGGGGCCACTCCAGGCCCCCAGTAAGGTAGGGATGAGGAAGGGAGGGAGAGAAGGAGGGAGAGAAGGAGGGAAGATGATGGAGCTGGTGGGCCAGGATGGCCGCATGGACAAGGGTGATGGGATAGGCAGCTGCCAAATGCTCTCAACTCCTGCTGCTGAGGGTGTGACCCAGGCAGCTGGAACTGGCATCAGAGAAGGGCTTGGCCCCATCCTTGGTTCCCTGTCAGGGACATCCTCCTGGCCAAGAAAAAAGGCAGGGACCATTAATAAACAACTTTCCACCTGTTTTTTTCTTGGTACTGGTGGTGGATTATGTTTCTTTGCTTGGATTGATTGCAGGTTTTTTTGAAGTAAGATTAATTGTAAACAAAAACCAAATCAAAAACTAAAACAAAACCCCAAACCGACCATCTGCCTCACCAGGGAAAGGCCATGTATGATGGTCACAGGGACAGCAGGGCACCACCTTGCTACAGTCCCCGTTCTCCTTTCCCCTGGCCCTGGCAGGGCGCAGAGGAGCGAGGACAGGGGGAGGGGGAGGATGAGGAGTGTCCTGTGCAAGAAGCCAGGCTGGACTTTGGAAGCAAGAGGAGGAGCACACTTTGCTCCCGATGTTCAGGACCACAGCCCAAGTTTTCCTCAGCCTTCACTTCAAACCTCACCCTGACTGGAAGCCAAAAGCAGCTGGCTAAACTGACACACGGAGGTGTTCACCTCTCTGAATCACTAACAGCTTCAGGAAAACTGCACTGGCAGTTTTCATCCACTGGTCTTGCAGTTTTTTAGGGATACAATGGAAGAATGCACTGTTAGTCCCACCAAGGT